CCCTCCCCTGACAGACTACCATCTGATCTCTCCTTTGAGAGGTTGAACCAGTGCACAGTGGTTCCTCCAAAGAACACAGAAATTGCTTTTAGGGGCAGTGTGGTTATGAGAAGGTGCCCCCAAAGAGGAACACAGATTTTAGCATTCATCCTTCAGACTTCAACTTTCTAAAAGAATGTCTAAGCCTCAGGCTAGGAACTCAGGGCAGGGAGATGGAGATACAGGCTGTTGAATCACAATGAAGGCACTTTCTGCCATGATCCTGGTCTTAAGGGTTCCAGTTGGACTGTGCCCTACTCTAAATACCTGCACCCTGTATGGGACTGAAAGCCTAATTTTGGTGCTGGAATTCACAAGAGATAGAGATGAACTCAGAGTTCAGGCACTTCCACAAAGCTAGCAGGAAACCAAAATTCTCTAAACAAAGTACTATGGGGTGAGCTGGTGTAAATCCTTCTACATGCTCTGGGTGAAGCCCTCAACAGGCATAAAATAACTTCATAATGCTCACCAAAGACATAAGAACTGAGTCACAGACCCTGTAATGAATTCCCTGTTGCCTTGAAGGACTCCTTTGTTAGAAGGACCTCATTTTTTTTAGTTGCACAATCATTACATAGACTATGACTGCATTTGGAGGTGTTGTATTCTTACAGTAATTAAAAATTAAATTGCCTTTAACTTTTCAGAGCATACATGCTAAAGTTTAAATTTCCTGATAGCAAAAGTGGGTTTTTCAGCCTAATTAATTGTATTACTTGTGATGAAGCATAATGCACATTTCAGTTGCTGCAGCTTGAAGATGAATGTTAAACAATCTCTTTCCTAAATTTATTTTTTAATTTAATACATTTCCTAATTTAATGTTCTGAGTTTGAATCTTACAAACTATTCCTCTTTCTTTCCATGTGATGTTTCATCCAGTAGTTTTCAGTGTTGCTTTTTCTCATCTTTTCAAATGAGTTTCGTTCCTTTTAATATGCCACTCTATACGCAGTATGTTACATGGGTAGGTATCCAAGTTTTAACCTTACATACATATTAAAATTCGTTCCTTATACTTCTTTCTATAATCACTTTTCTCTTCAAGAGAATTCAGTGTTCTTTTCCTAAAACAGCCTTTATGCACTGCGCGGGAAGTTTGCTAGAAATAGACATGATGATGTGAGACTCACCCAAGGCACGAGGCAAATCTGTGAAATCAAATGCTATATCTCAGCAAATATGGACCTGTAGTCTGGAGGGTTTCTTTCCAAAAGTCTGCCTTTGCAAAAGTGTTGCTGGACAAGCCTGCAGCTGCTTCAGTAGCATGTGTCTAATACGCAGACTGTTCCACAGGCAAACAGAAAGTTTCCTCCTCCTTGTAGTTGATTCAATTTATAATGGAAAAACAATCCCCCTGGACTTCTAGGCACTATTTAATTCGCTCCAAGAATGTGGCAGAAGGGCAAGAAGCTGATCTGATTGGGGTGATCATTGTACTCTGGCACCTAAGACCCACTGCTCTCCTAAGCACAATCCTGGTCAAATCATGCAGGCTACCCTGGAGTTCCGTTGAGCCTGAGGAATAGCAGCAGCATTCTACGGAGCAATGGGACCATAAGACTTATAAAGTGGTGGAGTCTTCACTATGGGGAAGGGATCATATCCATACCACTAGGGAGCCAATTATTGTGTGCATCTCTTCGGGAATAGATTGTAATTAAAAGCCTTCGTTGGTGCAGTTCCTCCTCTTTCCCTCAGTTGCTTCTTTCAAAATCATGGCTCAGTCCCTGTAGGTGTGCTGATGCAGCTCTTTGTGGTCCAGTGCTGCAAGCAGGGTCACGGACTCAAAGTACAATAAAAATACTTTTTTCTAGTTAGCTACTGACCTGATTGATGAAATGCTCCAAGAATGACTGTGTTGTCCTGAATTTGGGGACTTTGTTCAGTGGCATCAGCTCTATTCCCAAGGCTGGAAACTCCACAGTGTGGCACTACCGGCAAAGCCCCTAGGTCTTTGAATAATGCATTCAGACATGAATACAAAAACCATGGGAAAAAAGAAGAGTTCTGATCTCTGTTATATATGCTCAAAGTCCATAAACATTCTTTACTTATTTAAATAGTAAAAGTGAGACATTAGAATTTCCTTCCAGGCTTTGCCTGTTACCTATTGAAAACATAAAGCTTTAAGATGGAGAGGTTTTGCACAGGCTACTTATGTCTCTTTGATCTAATTGATGATGCTTTAAATAATAATGCAAATAAAGCCTTGGGATAAAGGAGGGAGCTGGAGATGTTTTCAATAATGCAATATTACGAAGATCAACATAAACTCTTCTACTGTCCGAGTAAATAGCAAGAGAGAGTCAGTATCAGATGCAGAACTGTGAACTCACATTTTTCTGTCCTTTGATCCCAACATGATTATTTGCTTTCAACATAAAGAAATTACTGAGGTGTGACCCTGCTGTACAACTGTTTGCTGGGGTGAGAAGAATTGCAGTACATGCAGGACATAGAAAGTGTGAGGAAAAGAGAGGAATTCTGATAGCAGGGAAAAGAGGTGGAAAAGAGGGCGTGAAAGGCATGGGAAAGGAAGGCAAGGCAAACTGTGGCAAAAGAGACGTAAAAGTCTAAGAAGGAGAAAGATAGCTAGCTGAAGGAAAGGAATAGGACATGTTAGAGCAAATAATTCACTATTAAGATTTTTAGCCAAGCAGGTGCATAACACAGAATCTAGTATTTTGAGGGCTTTGAGATTTTAAATAGTTTATATTCAGGAACAACCCCCTCTCTCTTCATTCCCTGTGCTAGGTGCTGCCGGACACCAGTAAATGACACTCCTATGCCAGACAATGAGCATTGCCAGCCCAGACAGGCATCCCACCTGGGACCGGGTACATCCTTTTACAGGCCCAGCACAGGTGTCATCCAGTTCCTACCTGCTCACAACAAAGGTGGAAGAGGATGTCCTTGGCAGAGATAAAATAAATCCAAGCGGGGGAAAGGCCAAAAGTCTCTGTCCTATAGGCACAGAAATGTAAAATAAGAAAAATTAACTGAACCTCTGTCAAAAGACAAGGGATTGCTGTCCCAAGGGAGCTCTGTACCCCACTGCCTATGCTGACTCACCTGTGTGCACAGAGATGGTGCACAGGTGTGGATTTGAGCTGGGAAGGCAGCTCAGCTTCCATGCCTGGTACAGCTGACTTTAGCAAATTCCAAAATAATTTCAGGGCCAAAAGCAGGAGGGTGAGCTCAGAGCCCTGAAAGAGTGGAGGGAGGGGAGACTTTTATCCTAAAGTCATTGTAAAGCCAAAGAGGGGTTTATCCTCCACAGCTAAATGAAAATGAAAAGAAAAAGGAAAAAAAAAATCCAGGATAGCAACATGGGAGAGACAAAGACTGTCATGGACCAGTGCGAGTTTGCAAAATTATATGTAAATGACCCCAGTTTTGACCATGGTGGCCCTCTGCTAATCCCGGAGAGAAAATCTACTTAGCAAAGGAAAGTTTTGTTTAATTTAGTTAACAGGAACGAAAATGCTGAATATCTTTATATTTTCAGGAAAATGCCATATCTTTAATGCATCAGTGTCAAAGTGGGATCACAAGAGCTTAAAGCACACAGAATAAAAGTCATGTAGCATTTTGTCTATATTCTGCACCAGTGCTGATAAAAATGAGCGTTAGACATATGTTTTCATAATAGGCACCAGCCATTCCTGCTGCTGAATGTGTTTAGCTCAGTGCATATTGTTCTATGTACACTGACCAAAAGAGAGGTTCCCTCTGGATTTACCATCCTAAAGGTGTCCCGAGGAAATGAGGGTGTTTTTTTCCCCTTCCTAGATAACTCACCATCATCACTCCATGTGACCTTTTCCCCACTAATCTGGGATAGGAGTTTTTCCTGTATTTACAGGTTAAATGGAAGATACACATTCCACTTTTTACTCATTGTAATGAAGATCTTTTTGTCTGTCTCCGAATAAAGGGTCGGGTTGGTTTACAAATTGCGGGTCAGCCCATTCCGCGACCTGGGCAAACAGCCCAGGTCAAATCTCCTCAAAGCCTCCCCACCCAACTGGAATAAGTTAATTTACCCCTCGACGGCTCCGGCCCTGCCGGGCATGCCCGGTCTGCCCTGCTTCCAAAGGCTATGGAGACACCCGGGACGCTTGGTTCAGGCGGGGCTGGAGTTGCCCCGTCGGGAGAGAGCCGTGCCGCTGTTCCGCGCCGGCGGCGAGACATGAAGGACTCGCTCCCGGAGCTTCCATCGGTTTTATTCTCGGGACCCCGTACCCCCGCAGCGGCCGCCTGTCCTCCCCGCCCCGTCCTGCGCCTTCACCATTATTCATCCTCCTCTGAACAAACTGTGCTGCAGACCAATTCGCTGGCAAAGCACGCAGGAGATGCCGTTCGGACACATGCCTTTGGAGCCAGCCCCCACGGGCGCGTGGGAGGGCAGCACCCGCGGGGTTTGCCGGGGAGTGGGGAATCGCCAGCTCCGGGGTACCCCGGGACACCCTCCCAGCCTCCAGTGATAGCCTGGAAGCAGAAGCCAGGCGGCAACACCCCCCGGCCCGTCACGCCCTGCCCTGCCCCGCCTGCCCGAAGCGCCAGCCGCGGCCCGTGCGTCCAGCAAGCTCTCTGGCGCTCGCTGACCACGTCTCGCTCGTGGGTTTTTTTGCCCTGGGTGGATGCGTTGGGAGACTCTCACCGCCACCCGAGGAAGCTCTCTCACGGAAACAAAAAGCAGCGGCGGGTATAAACGTTTATTCCAAGGCATCACTTGTACAGGCACTGAACCCGGAGGTGGGAAGACGAGCGGGTGGGGGCACAGCTTCAGGCCCTTGGAGAGGGCGGGCGGGAGCAGATCTGGGCCCCCGGGGGCTCCTCGCCATCCGGGACCCCTGCGCATCTCCCTGCCCCCGGCAGCCTCCCCGTGCGCCCGGGTGTAACCCGCAGTGTCCGCGGTCATAAATAGGTGTTTTTTCAGGCGGGACGAGTCTCTATAGCATGGTGGGATGCTGGCCCGGGGGCAGCCCAAAGGCGTTGGGGTGGGAATGGCCGAGGAGGTTGAGGTAGTGGCGGTCCAGCCCCTGCACGGAGGAGAGGAAGGTGCTGCGCTGCTGGCCGGGGCTGGCGAGGGGAACGGCGGCACTGGGCAAATGGTAGGGCAGGGAGGGGCTGCGGGCGGCGCCGTGCCAGGGGAATGGCCCTCCCGAGGGCGGCTGGAGCACGCCCTCGGCGGGACTGTGGACGTGCCCGGGGCACTCGGGCCCAGGATGCAGCTGGTAGGAAAAGTCCGGCTCTGGGAGGGAGCCCAGGGAGGTGAAGAGAGGCTCAGTAACGAAGCGTGCTTTGGACTGGAGAAAGGCCAGGATGCGAGCGTACTTAGTGTCTTTGGTCTCCATCCTCTCCACCGTCGTCAGGTAGTGGACCAGGTTCTTCATGCACTCGTGGTAGCCGTAGTGGAAGTAATTGGCGAACTCGGAGAGCAGCTCTGCTGGAAAGGAAAGGGAAGGGAATCGAGCTCCTCAGGGTCTGGCCGGGAGAGGAGCGGGGAAAGCCGCCCCCACGCCGCGAGTGACCCGGCGGGGGCCGCGGGAGGTCGCTCCCGCCCACCTACCCTTCTCCCGGCCGCGGGGAAAGTCCGCCGAGTGCAGGGCCCGCAGGTACTGCACCGTCATCTCCAGGATCTCCGCTTTCTCCAGCTTCCCCGAGCTCTGCAACGGGCAGGGCAGGTGGGCATCACCTCTCCCCTGAGACTGCTCTGCGTTCCACTGGGCCGCCCCCTAACCCCACCGTATCGGGGGATATCGCGGCGCACCGGGGAGAAAAGGGCGTAGGGGCTGCTCCCCCCCGCCTACCTGCTTGGCCAGAGCCATGGGCACCGTCTTCCCCAGCTCGGTGAGGCAGCGGTTGATGCGGTCCCTCCTCCGCTTCTCAATCACTTTATGGGAAACCGGCGTCCTCTGCAAAACATATGGGGCGCGTTAGCGGGGGACAAAAAAACAAATGGATCCAGTCTCGCCGTGACAGCCGCCCCCGTCCCCAGTCTCGACCCCTCCGAGGAAGCCAGTCCCCAACCCTGCTCCGAGCAGCGGTGCCGGGCGCGACGCGGCCTCGGGAAGGATGATGCTCCGGTGGCCGGTTCTCTCCGCGCGGCCCTGGTGGCTCCCCACTACGCGGACGGCCCTGGAAGGGCAGGCTTGTTTTTGTGAGGGAGGTGTGGGTTCTTTTTGTGGGGGGGCTTTTCGAAGGGAAAGGCGGCGAAGGGCTGGGGGCCCGGCCGGCTTGGCGGACCCGCAGACCCGTGCGCGCAAGGCGGGCGGCGACTCACCCTCCGCTCCTTGAGCTTAGAGGCCATGGTGGGCTCTGCATCCCCTCTCTCTCTGGCCCCCTTATAAAGCCATCACTTCTTGGGGGGGACCCCGGGGGGCCTCCACGGGCCCGCTGATCCCATAGGATTAGAGGCGAGCGGCGCCGAGGGAATGTATGCATTAAAGATCAGGGTGGAAGGGGGCGAGGGGATGAGGGGCTTTTTTTTCTTCTCTCTTCTTCCTTTCTCCCCCTCCTCGCCCCCGTCCACGCAGCCGGGGGCGGCCCAGCTGTGTCGCCCCACGTGGACCTCGGAGACACACGTGACTGTCCCACAATAGCGGCGGGGACGGGGCCGGGGATGCGGCGAGCGGGGCGCAGGGCGCGGTA